GGCGCTCTGCACCGCCTCCTCTTCTGAGACACAACGACGACGACGTGAGCTCAGGAATTATCCTTTCACTTTTACAATGCAATTAAAAGCCTTTGTTGAGCCCGCCAAATGTTGCGACACCCAGGAAGCAGCAGCCTGACTCACAAAACTGGCAAAAGCTGCTGCTCTTCTTCTCGGGGTTGGCCACCGTCCCCGAGATAAGGATGGCAGCTGGGAGGGGCAGGCAACTCCCCAAAGGGCAGCTCCCAGTGGGCATCAGTGGGCTCATGGCCACCCACCAAATTCAGGGCAGAGAGGTGCAGAGTCCCTCTCAGCGAGGCAGGGATCGTTGATTGAGATGCTGGAGGGAAGGGCTGCCACCCAGAGGGACCTTGACAGGCTGGAGGAGTGGGCCCATGTGAACCTCCTGAAGTTCCACAAAGCCAAATGCAAAGTCCTGCACTTGGGTCACTGAAGTTCCACAAGGCCAAATGCAAAGTCCTGCACTTGGGTCAGGGCAATCTCCAAGGCTGGGGGATGGATGGATGGATGGAGAGCAGCCCGGAGGAGAAGAACTTGGGGGCACTGGTGGATGAAAAGCTGGACATGAGCCAACAATGTGCACTCGCAGCCCAGAAAGACAACCATATCCTGGGCTGCATCAAAAGAAGCATGGCCAGCAGGTTGAGCGAGTGTGATGTTCTGCCTCTACTCCACTCTCGTGAGACCCCACCTGGAGCACTGCATCCAGCTCTGGGGTCCCCAGCACAAGGCATGGACCTGTTAGAGCAGGGCCACAAAAATGGTCAGAGGGCTGGAACACCTCTGCTATGGAGAAAAGCTGAGAGAGCTGGGGGTGTTCAGCTTGGAGAAGAGAAAGCTCCGGGGAGACCTTATTGAAGACTTTCAATATATAAAGGGGGCTCAGTATATAAAGGTGAGGTCCACAAAGGCTTTAAATTGCATTATAAAAGAGAAAGGATAATTCCTGAGTTCACAGTGTTGTACCTCAGGAGGGGATGTGGTGCAAAGAGAGACGACTTTTTACCAGGGCCTGTAGTGACAGAACAAGGGGAAAAGGTTTTAAACTGAGAGGACATTTAGACTGGACATAAGGAAGAAATGTTTTATGATGAGGGTGGTGGGACACTGGAACAGTTCACCCAGAGAAGTTGTGGATGCCCCATCATTGGAAGTGTTCAAGCTCAGGTTGGATGGGCCTTTAGCAACCTGATCCAGCGGAAGATGTCCCTTGCCCATTGCAGGGGAGCTCTACTAGATGATCTTTGAAGGTCCCTCCCAAACCAAACCATTCTGTGAGTCTGATTATTTTGGGGAGCAGGTGGGTTTTGAAGCCTGGCTGCAGCCTGGAGCTGGCTGAGGGGTTCGAAATGCTCAGCACCAAGCAGTGAAGCACCCAGGAGGAGGAGCTCCTATGACTTAGAGTGCAACAACACAGTGCTGGGCTCTGGCACCTCCCCAGATAACCCCACCTGGAGCCAGGCTGGCCCCACTCACTCCTCCTGCGATGCTCTGGTCCCAGAGCCTGACCTCGCCCTCATGCTCAGCAGGGCTGAGGGACACGCAAGGCAACAGGCGCTTTAAGCCCCCCTACACCCCTGACCCAACCCAGTCCCCTCTCGGCAGGCGGCCACGTACCCTGAGGGTGGCAGTGGCAGGGCAGGCAGCAGTCGTCCTCCCGCTGTCGGAAGAAGCCCTCCTTGCAGCGCTCGCAGTGGGCGCCCTCCGTGTTGCCCAGGCAGCCAAGGCAGCGGTAGCCGTTCCCTGTCTCCCTCAGGAGGTGCCAGTCGAAGATGCACTGCCTGGACATCCCATTGCAGTCACAGACTGGGGAGAGGAGAGAGACATCTCAAATGATGCTTACAGATAAAGGCGCCAGCTACAAAGCCATAAGCCCACCCTGATGCCCAAGGAACAAGCCCAGGCAATGCAAACCTCCTCTTCTAGCTCTGCCAATATAAAGCCCCGTCCCCACGTGTCTGCGCTTGTCCCCACGTGTCTGTGTCCATCCACATGTGCCACCAATGCCTGCGCTGTTCTCCACAACCCCGTGCTTTGGAGTAACACCTGGTTTCACTGCTCAGGATGGACAAACACCCCGAGCCAAGCAGCCCTGCTCCACAGTGCAGCATGGCCAGGGATGTTCTCCATCCTTTCAGAGGCCTTCCAATGCAACAAGGTCTTTGAGTAAGCAGAGACAGTAAACAACCCCCAAACCTTGTCCTGATAAAAGCATGGGGAACTTTACTGGTGACTTCAGGGAAAAGGGAAAGATCCCTGAGGTTATGTTTGGTTTCACTTGGCCTCTGACCATGAGCGACCCCAGAAGGAAAAGCTCAACCATCTTCCACCAGGGTCCCTCCATCTAGATTTGTGATGTAAATGTCCTCCTGGCCAAGGGGTGATGAGGAGCAGTTTGCGATGGGAGCTTGGTGGAAGCGTGCCAGCTGAGAGGGAGATTAAAAAAAGTCTTTGGCAGGATGACACAGGTCACCTCACTCCACCCTCCCCAGGAAGAAAAGCTGCAGCTGCCAACATTGCTGCACAATGGATGCCAGGAAGGGCAGGCATGAGATTTTGCATCCCACTACAGCCAGGACAGATGGGACCTCTGGAGAGCAGACTGGCAGATACCTCACCAGACGTGCCTGCTCCAGCACTCTTTTTCATTGCCTTGCCCAGGTCTTGTCTTGAAGCCACCCTTCATCTACTTGTGAAGCCCTCAGCAGCCAGTACTAGAGTGTTTAAGACCAAGGACCTTTATTTCAGGCAACTTCCTCACCACCACCAAGGAGAGCAAGCACAGTTGAGAGAATGGTTGGCAAAGGCAGGCAGGAGAAAGAAACACCCTGAGGGAAAAAGCAGGGTCTGCAGGGGCGCAGAGACTGCTGATGAACTGCTCCAAACCACCCCAATGCTGCCATGGGATCCTCAGCCTTCCTCCAAGAAACTCTGCTCACTGCTGACCTTTCCTTGGGACATGAAAGATGGTCCCCAGCTGCCCATCCCAGCTCAGGTCACCTCTGATAGCACAGGAGAAGTGGAGGAAATCCAAGAACAAGCAGAAATCTGCAGCGTGGATGTGGACCACAAATTGTACTTGATACACAGGGGGTGGGGGGGGCTCCTCCTTCCCAGCACTCTTCTGGCACAGCTTAGCCCGAGGGCACAAGGTCCCTGTCCTCCACATCTGTGATTCCTGGGACAAGGCAAAGGCTCCTGCACTCACCGCCCAAGCACGCAAGGCCCAGCGCTCGCACCTGGGCACTGCCTGACACCTCGCACACGCCCATGAACGCCCACATACCAGACGGAGGCACTCAGCAAGCGGCAGCCAAGCCTGCTGCCAAGAAGAGAGATGACCTCATGCGCCAGCAAACGGAGAGAGATTTTTTTCCAGCTCCGGCAAACATGGTTCTTCCCTTACAGCCTGGCTGCTGGGAGACCGAGACCCAGCTGCAGAAGGTCTTCTGCCACCCCAGCCTGCTAGGAGGGGACCTGCAGTTGCAGAAATCCTGCCTCTTAGGGTATGAGGAAGCATCTAGAGCCTCAGTGGACACCACCAGCGGCCAAAAGGCAGAGACAATACAACACCAACACCACCCCCCCCCCCAAAAGCAGCAGTGCAGGGTTTTCTCAAGGTATTTATGCTCACCTTCACAGCAGGACTGCTTGGGGTCAATCCCACCCCTCATCTCTCCACACTAAAGCTGTTAAACCCCACCCACGCAACACCCTATGTAATGTCTATGTAATCCAGAGGATTACTGGGTTGCTAAATTACAGGTGTGAGCTCCATTCCCCCAGGGAATGAAAACCTTTTTTTCAGATCTTGCTCTAAGGCTGCAGCACATTCAGAGCCAGCTCTCCAGCCCTGGCACCAATTGAGGCCTCACTAATCCAAAGCCGTTTAAGATGCTGTTGCAGATTAGTGCCACCACCTCACTTGCGTAGCTGTTCCTGTGCCTGGTCTTCTCCTGGAAATCTGAGAGCTCAGGTGGATTAATCTTTACCAAGAGTGAGGCATTGCTGAGTTGCTGATGAGATGGAGCATGCTAGAGCTGCTAGGAGATGAGGACCAACTGAGGACAGCATCCTTTTTGTATCCAGGTGCCCTGAGGCTCTGCCCTGAGATCATCCATTTCTCAGGCAGCTGTGGAGAAGAACAGGCTCCACAAAGGAGAAGCTTTACAACTGGATTTCTTAAGCACTACATCGGGATGAAGGAGGTCTGAAGCATGCATCCAGCAGGACATCATTCCCCCAGCTCCTGCCCAGCAGAATAAGGCACGAAAACCACTTGTTTGCTCTGCTGACACAAATTCCCACCATCAGAAAGGCTCAGAGAGGGAGACAGGCAGCTTTGGACCTCTTAAACTGTCATCTTAAATTCACAAAACCAGAAAATGAGGTTGGCCCTGGGTCTGCAAGGAGCAGATCCAATAGCTCCGTACATATGAGCCGGTCTGCAGAGACTACTCCTTTCAGCAAGGTATCAACAGAGCTTTGCATGCAACAAAGCCTCCACAACAACACAAACCATTTCCCCACTCCACGCTTTTGGGACAGTGACCCAGAGGGCTGTCCCATCTGCCACCCTGAGTCCTGGCTTTCCTCATCACCCAACTCCACAGCTTTCTTGCTGCAGGAAGACCTGCCCATATCTCCTGGGGCTCCATCAGCATCAGCAGGGAGAGAACACACACTGGGAGCTGAAACCTGCCATTTGGCATCTTCTCCTTTCCGAAACACCGAGTTAGACACGCTGGAGCTCTGACCTCCACACCCCAACTCTTCCCCAAACCCTGGGAGATCCCTTCAACCTTCACGCGCAGGCACACACCACCCAAGGCAAAAGCACGCTTGCTCGGGCAAGGCTGTGCACAGTTCAGAGTACAAGCGCCCCAACCTCCGCTGCTCGACCAGATCATACGTGAACCCAGTATGGCTCAAGCAGTTCGTTTGCAAGCAAAACAGGATCACGTGTGCTAATCACAAGCAGGCAGCTAGTGCCAGGACCAGAGGAGTAACAGCACGAGAGACAAATTTATGCCACCAACCCAACTCAGAAAGCCTGCTCTGGCGTAAAAGCATGGCCAGTTATCAGCTGTTGCTTTTACATACACACAGAAATACGTTCAAGAGTCCATGGCAGAGCAGCAGTTGCCTAGACGCTGCGAGGAAGGAGGTGCAAAAAAAATCTGCATCAGTATTTTAAGACTTGCATATGCAATTAAGGCTGCTGTAATAATTATCCAAGTAGCAAGTAAAGCAAATCAGATCTTTTAAAAAAAAAAAAAAACCAAAAAGAACAAAGAAAAAACCAAAAACCCCCACCTTTTGGCCTTATAGCTGCAAAATTATGTGGCACTGATATTCAAGAAAAAGCATGGCCAGTTATCAGCTGTTGCTTTTACATACACACAGAAATACGTTCAAGAGTCCATGGCAGAGCAGCAGTTGCCTAGACGCTGCGAGGAAGGAGGTGCAAAAAAAATCTGCATCAGTATTTTAAGACTTGCATATGCAATTAAGGCTGCTGTAATAATTATCCAAGTAGCAAGTAAAGCAAATCAGATCTTTAAAAAAAAAAAACCACCAAAAAACAAGAAACAAAAACCCAAAACCCCACACTTATTCAGCACTTTTTTCCCAGATCATGTTACACTGCACTAAAAGGAAAACTGATGAAGGACCAACTCAAGCCCTGTGAGCATATTTCAGAACACCAGCACTACAGTCAAAAAAACCCTGAAATTGCTCAATATTTACAAAATACATGTAAAGACCCAATTTTGGCTAAACAAACCCATCTCCAGCCTATAAGCCAACGTGACCAAAACCCTCATATCGAATTACCACTGGGCTGAAGGCACTTAAACATCCCTGCATCGCCCTCTCCACTACAATCGCATACGCCAGAGGATCCTCTAGAGTTTTAAAGCTTGCCATCGGTCTGCGTACCGCGGGAGGCTCACCGCCTCCCACTGGGTGTGGTGGGGCCGTGGGCACCTCGTAAGCCCCACGGACTCGCACAAAGTACAAACAACGCACACGTTGCTACAACAAACTGGATCCCGCGTGCTTCTAGCTCTTCCTCGGGCTTAGGGAACGTTTTGATTACGGCAGTGGCAGGCAGATAAGCCACCCGCTCCCCGGGCAATGGTTGTGCTCACGCCCAAATCCCACCCAAGCAGCGAGGCTTAATGCAGAAAGCAATAAAGTAATCGCACATAAATAAGTTATTTAAAGGGGACACCAGCAAAAAAACAGAGTCTAAATGCTCATGGTATATTTAACCCCAGACGAAATGCAAGGAGAAGCACCTACAGGTCTAATTTTAATCCCAAAGGCAGGAGGGGAGAGCGCCCTAGCAGGGTGCTGCAGCACCCAGCCGGCTCACAGCTACCAGGACTCTCCAGCACCAGGGCAGGGCTGCAAGCAAAGCCGCTAGCAGGATTGCACATCAGCATGAAAGCAGGAGCAGTCGACCTTCTTGGAGCCTCACCTTCTCCTCTGTTGGCGCTCAGGGCTGCGGGCAGGAGAGATGCCGCCAGGCAGCACAGGGCCAGGAGCCAGCACCCAGCCATTTCTTGTGCCGGGGAGCACGAGGTGCCCACTCCAGCAGGCAACAGCAGGGCTCACGACGGGCTGCCTATTGCTTTTTTTTTCGGGTGGTTTTTATCGGCTGCTCCACCTGAGTCACTCCCAGCCCCTGTGGACACCCCTCCTGCCCATCCCGCTCACCCAGCTCCATCCCACCCTCTGTCGCTACCTCCACAGGCAGAGCACTGGTGTTTGCTGGTGGGAGCCGGGCTGCCCGGGCACGCAGGCAGCTCGCAGAGAGCTCCATGAAACATGATGAGCTCACGATGAGCCTGGGGAGGGTGGATGGGGACTGCCTGCTCACAAGCCAGGTCTGTCCCACCAACCTGCAAGAGCAGGGCTGAAAACCAGCCAGAAGAGGCAACTAGGGGGACTCACAGCCAAGGGCTGCCGGGGATGCAAAAAGACCCCAGGGACAGCTTAGTCATGTACTCAGAAAGCAGATCCATTGGGATTTACCAGACAAGCATCAGGTTCAGGAAATCCCCAGGCCTGGAAAAGGGGTGGAGGCTGGGAATCATCACATGTTTGTCTGCTTTTGCTCCCAAGACAGAAAATGAGGTTAGATGGGTCCGTGGCCTTGACCTAGTACAATGATTTTTCTGCTAGAAAGAGGATGAGGAGAGCAGAGAGAGAGAGGGGAAAAGGCTTGCCTGAGGTTGCTGACGGAGCCGGGATGAGGATCCCAGGCTCCATGGACCCAGGTCCATCAGCATTTTGGTCTCAAGAGCAGCCAACAAGCCACACAAGACTCAATTCCACCTTGCTCCTCACCTTTGCCTTGGAGGAGGACATGACCACTTCTACAGGGGAAGAGAGAAATCTGGAGGCAGTGGTTCCCCTAGTCCTGCATACATCAGGATAAATGAGATGCCAGCACATCCACTTGACCTGGAAAAGCAACCCACCAGAGGGTCACAAGGACGGATGGATTTTGCGCTGCATCACAGCATCTTCCTCTGCTTGCTGCCAGGGGACACCTACTGGCACAAGTGACCGTGAGTGGTCCATAAGCACCTTTCAATGGAATTAAGATACCTAACAAATTTGCCCCCAGTCTAAGACACAAGTTGTCTTTCAGGTCACCTTCTGCATTAGGGACTGAAACTCAACCCAACGACAAATGGTGCTGACGTGCTGCTCATTCCAGCGCTAACAAACCAGGGGTGATTAAGATTTAGGTCCTCATCTGAGCCTCTTACGCTGCCCAACAGCTTCCAGACACTCATGCACCTGGAGCTGACTCAGAGGGCTTTCCTCCACGTCTCCTGATGATCTCATGGGCACGACCAGCCAGAATTCACCACATCTTTGCACCTCCCTTTGCTGAGCTTACCTGGCCCCACTGATTGAGTCAACTATCTTTTATAAGCAGGCTGTTTCCTTTTAATTTCACACACTGGATACTAATATAGTTCACAACAAGGAACCCAGCTTCACGAACACGCTGGTGGCACATCGGGTTTTGGCACCCAAGGTTGTCTTATCTGATTTTATTTTTATTTTTTTTTAGGAAGCAAGACAAAACCACCTGCGGTGTTCCCACTGATTTGGCAGTTCGTAGAGTCCTCTTATTCCTCTAACAAAAACCACTTAATCCTTTCTGCTCTCAAGCACATCACTTGCCACAAACACCTCTGCTGCATCCTTCCTACCTGCTGACATCCTTCTGCTTGGGAAGCTCATCTCCTCCAGCAGCATTGCCAGTACAGCAGTTCCTTTGGGCCTCGCCCAGCCCAAGCCCTTGGCTGATTTCTTTCTTGGAAGAGCAGCTCGCACCAGCAGGAAGCTTTTCCCTTATCTGGCTCCTCCGTATTATCCCTTCTGTCTCACCGTTATCACCCCACCTCTTACTTCCCTTCTGCAAACAAGGCACTGACACAGCTCTCTCCAGTCATTTCTGCGTGTTTACTTAGGTTACTCTTACCTCATCATCCTCCACCATCCTTCAAGATCATCTCTGAAAACCGTAAGAATGCACACAGAAGGCTACCCAAAAATATATTTTCTGGGGCCCTCATTTTCTAAACGCACCGAATCTGGGACAAACTGATACCCACCACCTTCCACAGAGCAAACGTTGCCCATTGCAACTCATCATTATGGCAACATCATTTAAAAAAGGTCTCATATAAACACAGTTAACAGAAGTGTTACCTTTTAGCAGGTGAGCAGACCTGCAAGTGATGGGAGGCACGAAGAATGGCGGCATTCATCAGACATTGCAACGAATCAGTGTTTCTTCACTGGAGAACCTGGGTCTTTTAACTTGCAACATAAGGGGTGCCCTTCTGAAGATGTCCTACGCTCATCTTCATAACGGGGCTAAGCAAGCTGCTATGGCAGAGAGACCACTGCAGGGGCTGGCAAGTTTATCAGTCCTTGAGGTCATGGCCATCGCAGAATTAACCACTCCAAAGATAGTCTGGATCCACATAATCTGAATTTTGCTGACGGTTGCCGGTGGCAAGGGATGGATGTGTGAAGGGCCCAAAGCAGTAGTTTTATTGCTGTAACTAAGGAAGAAAACACATTTTGGTGGCTCATGACAAACAATGCCAAGATAAAGACTACCCAGTGGCAAGGCAGGGCACATCTAACCTTCCGCGTGTCCTTGTAGCCCAGCTTGTCCCTGGCAAACCCACACCTCCCTCCACAAGGGACCTTCTGGGCTGCAACATCCTCCTGCAGCTCTGGTCCTGGGCTGCTTCCGTGGGTGGCCTCACGTCTCCTGCAGGGTTTGTCAGGCAGCAGCTTATCTTGAGCTGTTCTCTGTTTGCTCACTCACTTTCCTTCCTGCTGCCGCTGCATGCATGCACCCACTCACCGCCAGCCTCTTCAAGCCTGAGGAGTTTCTCCTCCAGTCCAGCAGCAGACCTTTATCCTGCCACCCGGGACTTCTTCGGCATGGCAAATCAGGGATCCTGCTGTGCCAGTATCACCAAATATGCAGTGCAGCAATAAAGCCTGGACTTCAGTCTCTCCATCGCCAGATGGGTGCTCCGGGCTTCTCAGAGCAGGCTTCGGGCCAGCACACTGATCCGATAGAATCTGCTTTATAACCTTGTATTTAAAGCACAGTAATATTATCAGTTGATCTTTCAAAAAAAAAAAAAAAAAAAAAAAAAAAAAGGAAAAACCTCTCTCCTCCTTGCTCAGGAACAGGTGGGCTTCCTTCAGGAGACATCATCTTCTGGCACGTTTTGGTTTTACAGCTGGTTTTGGTGGGTCTAGAGGTGCAGTTAGGCACCTAGTGGTGCCAAAACTCCTGTCAGCTAGGGCTACCCAGGTCAGAGGAGATCATTTGGGCAGAGGCAGGCAAGGGAGCAGGAAGGCAGCGGGACACTGGGGGTCACTGCCCTGCCCGGGTCACTGTGGCGGCGGTGGTGAGCAAGCAGGGCAGGGCGGCAGCAGCACAGCAAGGAAATGCCTGCACGTCTGGCCTTGCCTCGCCTGTGCCCTGCCCGTACCAGCAAGGGGGTGAGACAGGCAGACAGAGGTGAGGGAAGGAGGCAGAGCTGTCCCACCGCATTCCCTCGTCTGCCTTTATGCCCCACAGCAGCAGCTACTGGGCTTCCCTGGGGACCTCAGTGGGATTATTTTGGGGTTTGTTTGTTTTTTTTTTTTTACACTCTATTCTTGACTTTTCTCGAATGGAAGCACACTGAAGATACAGTCCAGCTGCTAACTAGAAAGACTAACCAACCAGAATGTGGTCCAAGATGTCACGGCTGTAGATGGGGAGTGCAGGGGACTGCCAGCTCAGCGCCACAGCTGTAATGTCCTCCTCTCCATCCACAGGTCCACAAGGACACGCTAGAGGTGCCTCCTCCAGGCAGCTGCTCCCAGCACTTACTGACTCCTGGCAATACCTCATCCTCCCCAGAAGTGAGATAGAACCTGGCTTAGCAGCCCCACGAGGTCAGGTCCTCTGAACTTCAGCCTCCCCAGAGCAACCCATGAGGCCCCAATCCACCCTCCCCCCCCGCAGCTCTCTCCCACTTGGCTGGCAGGAGAACCCCAACAATTTTTAACCAGCTGCAAAGACCCCAGCTGACAATCAGTGCCGCTCTGGCCAAGTCCTTCCCATCACCACTTGCTGCCAGCATCCCACTTCTCCAGAGCATGTGAGAGATGATGGGGCTTGGACAGCAAGAAAAGACACTGGAAATCAGAGGAGAGGAAAAAAAAAAAAAAAGCCACCAGAGTATGGCTTGGTCACTCCCCAGCAAGTTCCATCCTCTTCCACCTTGAGGTCAAGTCCATGCTGAGCAAAACCACCCTCCTCCAGTGTTCTCTACTTGGACTTCAAAACACCAATAAAACACTTCTTCAATGAGCTGGAAGCAGCACTTCTCGTGCTCCCTCGGGTCTGCTCCTCCCTGTGGCCGAGAGTAGCACATACTGCCCTCAAAAACCTCCAGGAGATTTTGACTGTCCCAGACCAGTGTGATACAAGTGTTTCAGAGACTCGGCATAAATCTACAGATGCCAAGAGCTTCACCTTAATTTGGGATTTCATCCAGGCTTTAGAGGACAAGCACTGATGCCGTGTGACCTGAACATAAAATAAAGAGCACAGACTTGCTTCCCAAGCTGAGTATTTTAGCCCAAAAAATGGTGAAAGGCTCCACGTCAAACTACAGCCCACGCAAGGTCAGCACCGTCCCACTGCCCGATTCTTTGCTCCCCTGCTGCTCCCTACAGTCCAGCTGAAACATCAGATTTCACCAGCCAGGATTTGCTCAACAGCAGTGTTGGCCAAAAAAAGGGGGCATTTTAGAAAACAAACGCATTAGCGGCAATTATAGCTGAAGAACAAAAAGCCAGAGCTAGACAAACTGAAATAAAAAAAATGAAAAGAACTTACCAATTGAGAAGGGCTTAGCTCTGATGCAAGTTAATGAGACACGTGCATTTTCCTCTGCTGAGAAAAATAAAGAAATGCAGTCTGCAGCTGTAAGATGGGTGTGATTGCAAAACTGCCCCATCTGTTACCACAGTAATCTGTCCTGACATTAAAAACTTGCTTAATTCAGGAATAAAATTTATCCTGGGCCCTGGCAGACAGGACCCATGGAAAAACACAGAGTACCCAGATTTATGGCAGTTCCCCATAAAGAAATTTCAGCTTCTTTATTTAGGGGGTTTGTTTTTCTACCCAGGAGCCCCATCCTTTTCTGTGCGTTCAAGCTGAAAGCAGGGAAGATCTTGCGCTTACACTGTAAAGAAACACTCCCCAAGCTCCCAGGACAGTGCAGCTTCAGTAGCAGCACCACCACTACTCTTATTTTTTAAGGCCTGGAAAAAACAGCAGCATAAAATTCACTGTAGCCATGGCAACGAAGCAGTGGGCACAGGGAGAAACCATAATCACTACGGCCATCTGCAGCCCATCACATGAATTCCCAAATTACTTTTCCCTTTCTCCCACCCCAATCCAGCTCATTTGATTAATTAAGCAAGAGGCAAATCTTACAACTGAGACATCCTCATCAACCACCACCACCCCACCCCACCCCCCCAAAGCAATACTCAAAAGAATGCCAAGGTATAAGGGGGTTACAAATATTCAGACTTTATTATAAATAAGAAATACTGTTTTATACATAAAAACTGCAAGTGTTGCATTTTGTTCACCGCCCCAGACAGCAAGACCACAGATTAAGGCAAAAAGCTGGAGTGAAGGCACATTCTGAGGGGGCCACAGTCAGGAATAAGGTGATGAAGGGACTGCCACGCGTTGCCCGTGGCATCCAGCACTCCACCAGCAGCTGTCGCACTGTCACATTACGTAAAGAAATAACTGGACTTATACAATGAATAATGGCTGTAATGCAGTAGTGATTAAGAGATTGCTTATAAAGATTTTTTTTTTATTTAAAAATAAAGTTCTGTTAAAAACAGCTTAAGGAAAAAAAAAAAAAAAAAAAGGAGAAGAAAGCAGGAAACCTTAGGCCTGAGGTCAGCCAGGGCATGCGTGCTTCTTCGCATCTGCTCTTCTCACAGCCTTGGCAGAGAGGTGACGCGGTTACAGCCAGCCATCTGACCAGAGCAGCCGGCCAGGACACCGACCTCGACATCCCACGCACGGCGGCGAGCACAGGTAAGCTCTCCTCCAGGTAATAGGTTATGTTTGCAGTCAGGGAGAAATCCCAAGCTGGTAAATTGTAAGAATCTCTAAGAGAAGGGTACAAGAGTGATGTAGGGTTTGCTGGGAACACCCCGCCCCTGCCCAGCAGCGCCGCTCCCAAGGGTGCACCAAGCCTCCCGCCTCACACAGCGGTATCAACATGTCCCCAAATCCAGCTCTCCAACCACCTCAAAACTGGATCCAGTCTCCCAACAGCCCTACAGTTCCTCACAGCCCAGCTGCAAAGCCACAGCCCCTGCTCTCCTCCTGACACAACATCCCCAGGGACAAGGGACACAAAATGGGGTGCTGTGAACACCGCGCATCAGGGCTGGCTTTGGAGGGAGGGCTAGGAAGCATCCACCCGACAGGCAACATGGCTGTTGCTGATGCCCATACGGGTGCAGAGGATATGGGCTAGGGAAGAAAGGGGAGCCCAGCTAGGAGAAATGCCAAGCTCTAAGGGAATAATACGGAGAGAAGCAATACACAGTGCACGCACCCTGATGGCTATAAGGGAAAGCACATGGAGGAGGCCAGGCTGTGCCACTCTGGAAATATGGCTGAATATATTTACACACACATACGCACACACGAGAGACTTCCTCACACTATAATCATAATAAAAAAACGGAAAAAAAAATCACATTCACACAAAAAAATATAAATTTGAAATAATTAATAGCACCAGTGTGTGTCAGATAATAATTTCTTCCCCGCTACGCAAACGTACAAAGTTGCATAGTGTTTAAGGATAGATATATATTGGATCTCAAGGAGGGGGCGGGGGGAATGCCAGGCTGGAGGCAAGGAGGAAGCTGCAGGGGATGCTCTCATCTCAGAGGAGGGCTGGAGGAGGAGCGAGGGGCTCCCCACCGCTCCCTGCCCAGCACCAGTAAGCAGCTGCGAGGCACTGCCTGGGGAGGGAGCCTGCCAGGGAGGTGGCAGCAGCGGTGTGAAATGCAGAATTGCCACCCGATCCAGGCCTGAAGTCCCTGTGCTGCAGTGGCTTTACGGTAACCAGGAGATCGGCAGACAAAAAGAAAGGAGGGCACCGGTAAACTCCAGCTCTTTCTGCCAGCTTAAAAACAAGCAAAAGGTGAGAGCAATGCTGGGAGATACAAAAATGCCACTGTCCTCCTCCAGGAAGAAGATGGGGAGAAAGAGCTTGTCATTTCCACTTGCATGCCCCCTTCCTTCCCCACCCAAAGACATTCAGCATGAAGGCCAGTGCAGCTGTAAGAGCTCTCTGGATGGCAGCTCTCCTCTTCAGCAAGACTTTTCCTGCTTGAACAAACTAATCTGTCAATCAGACATTCGTAGCCTAAAAAAAAAAAAAAAAAAGAAATCCTCTGGCAATATTTGAGCATGCCTTCTCTTTTCCAGAAAGCTGTTCCTATGCCTGTGCACACAGCAAAATCTCAGAAAGAAAGTATTCGACACAAAAAAAAAAAAAAAAAAGAAATCCTCTGGCAATTCAATAGCAACACCTACAGATGAGAACGCAGCTCATGGTTTCCACACTCCCCAGCCTGGACTACCTGGCAGGTAGCTGCTTGCAGACTGGACCCAAAACTTCTCCACAGACCAGGAGCGGGGCTGGCAAGGCCCACCACTCCACCAGTATCCCATCTTCCCAAAGAGCTCCTCTCAGAGGCTGCGTTTCTCTCAGAGTGATGCATCATCACAGAAAGCATTTCAGAAAGAGGCTTCAGCTATTTTGTCAAAGGCTACCAGCGCTGTCGATTGGCCACTAGTTAACGATAAAAAAAATAAATTCACAGGGTTAGAAGTTGGGAAGAAGGATCTGAATGAGTGCAGCTATACTGGCCATTACAGTAATACTTTGGTAGCCATCCCCTTCCTTCATAGGGACAGAGAGCTCTGGGACCAAGGATTTTACAGTAAAGGGGAAAAGAGAGGACAGAAAGTAGGGTTAGTTTTGCCTTGCTGTATACAGCTCACATAGGTTATTTCTGAACCACAGTATAAAGAGTCCAGAGCATCTCTCATCCTTGCACTAATCAAAGGGAAACTGTCTGAGAAAGGGGCAAAGGCAGAGTGCTCAGTAAGACAATTTATATAAAAAACCCCCTTTGATGCCCAAAGACGGATATTTAATTTGCTTCTCTTAAAAAAAAAAAAAACCAAAAAAAAAACCCAACAAAAACCTTTCAACTTATCCTGATTTGAAAAGAAAACAGTGGCTGCGAGCAGCAAAGAGTTGGGGATTTGAAGAAGGTAATGTGTGTTAAGGCACTCCATAGCCAAACCACCGCTCCACCACTCACCAGGGGAATACCTCCCACCCCCAGCGCACCCTTAGGGTTTCTCAATGGACGGGGTGTTAAAACAGCCAGACGGCAAGGTCTTCTTGATGTCTTCCAGGTTGCTAATGTCCTTCAGGATCTCTTCAATGTCCCTGTTGTAGGCCTGTATCGCATCATCTTGCTTCCTGGCTTCTCTCTCAAGGAAAGACACTTTCTGGTCCAGGTCACTCTCTTTCATCTGGTCTTTGGCACTGTTCAGGGTTCCCTCAATCTCATTCAGTTTGTTCAAGTCCACTGTCTCCAGTTGCCCTGAAAAGCCAGAAGCAAACAGTGAAGTCCATTAAAAAAAAACCAAAACCAAAACAAAAAACCCCCCAACCTTTGACGCATTGGTTTTGTGTGCTTACATAGCTGAGCCCATACCAGGACAGAGGTCTCCATTGGGCCATCTCTCCATTAGAAACAGCATTTGACCAACCAAACACATTACACCACCTCCACCTCAACAACGCTCCTCAGCTCACAGAAAAGCAGTACCGAACATTGCACAGCAAGCTCTGAGGCCACCCCAGGGGGGAAAAACAAACAAAACCCTTGCTGAAAACATGCAAACCCCATTTCTAGAAGTGAAGAGACCCATTTGATTCATGACACAGCACCGTCAGGGAAGCCAGCACATCATGCCAGCTGCCAGCACTGCAATATCAGAAAGCAGGAAAACACTCAAAAGGCGTAAGGCACATTAAGGACAGTCTTACCTAATTGATCCAGCAGGTTATTAATGACAGCAAGCAAGCTGTTCACAGAGTTCTTCGCTTTTCTTGCATTGTCTTCTGCCTCCTGGGCAGCCTGTGAGGCCTGCAGGATATAAAAAAATGAGAGCAAAAAGGCTGTAGGGATTACGAAACCGTTGCCTCTCCTTTTCACAGGTCTGCCCAGGCAGTTAGTCACACACATCCCTGGCTCCTCTCTTCAGGATAACACCCCTGGGCTGAGATCTTTATCATAGCACTGGCAAAGGCTGACAAACTTCAAATAATGAGTTTTCTGATTATTTCAGGATGGGGATCACTGATAACAGAGAGGGACTTCGCAGAAGAAGTCAGAACAGACTCAATAGGGCTACAGTCACATTTCAGTTAAAATAAAAGGAAAGTGTTGCATTAAGAAAACTAGCTCTCAAATTCCAGCAGGAAACCTATGCTAATGCCACCAGAGGTGCTCCTTTGCTCGTCTCATGTTTTCAATCCCACTTAAAACTTGGAAGAGACTGAATACTGACTGGACGCATACTGACTGGACCCAGCGCTGTCTTTAGCAAGAGGACAGCGGGAGAAAAGCCTGCATCACCAGGACAGCAGGGAGAAGGCACCGTCTTGCCACTCCTGCCACCTGCCAGCGTTACTTACCATGCCTGCCATCATCATGTCCTGCTCGGCATCATCCTGTTTCCGCTTCAGCTCTTTTTCTGCATCCTGTAGTTGCTTCATCATGTCATCTACTTCTCTGGCCAGCCCCGTCACATCAGCAAAAGTCTTGTCAGCTTCAGCTTTGGTAGCAGCGGCACTCTACAGCCAACAAAGGGAACAGGATGGAAAAAGGTGGTGAAGGTGCAGAACCTCCTTCAATCCTTACTGCCAAAATGCACCGATTTCCTATCATGCCACATTTTGTATTCCCTAGTGGGGAATACAGCAGAAAGCACAGGAGGCTCATCAGGAAATACTGGAACAGAGGAGGTTATACAGTCACACACCAACATCACAGGGGGGTGGCTCCAGAACTCCAAAGGACTCACCTTCTGAACAGAACCGGCGATTTTCTCAGCATCATCTGCTTTAGTCTTGGCTTCACGGGCATCAGCAGCAGCATTGCCAAGTGCCAGCTCTGCCTGGCGTGTCTTATTGTTGGCTTCAGCAATGGTCTGGGTAATGGCAGGAATCTTTTTCAGTGCCTCCTCGGCTGCTGTCTTGTTATCATTCACCCGCTTATCAAAATCTAAGAAAGGGCAAAACAGGTTCTTATCACTTGCTCTAGAAGAGCCTTGGGACATTTCTTTGATCAATCTTTGATTTGCTTTTCCACCTTGACATCAGAGGGATGAAAAGCAAACTGGGGTGTGGGGGAGTATATGCTTGTAGCTCTCCCTATTACACCTGATGCTAAATAAGGAACTTAAACAAAAAGCAGATTTCTAGTCACTGAAAACACTTCTATTTTTTTCTTTAAAGAAAAAAAAAAAAAAAGCCGAAAGAACACACCCGACACTCAGGTGATAGCATAGACTGTTTGACCAAGATACCCTACTGCCAAGTTACTCGTTACACAGGAATTGAAGGATTCACTGCAAGTGCTTTCTCTTTACCTTTCAGGTTGCTGAGAATGGTATTAGCCTCCTGTAGTGTGCCATTGCCCTTCCGAGCAGCTTCTTCAGCCAGGGCTTTTGCTGCATCTGCTCGAGCCAGGAGCTGGTCTGCAGTCTAAGGAGACATACATGTTATGTATCAAAATATTCTTACCTTTTGAAGGACAGCCATCTAGGTGTATCAAAAAGCATTGCTTGGCCTGAAACACCGCCATACAGAACAGTGTTCAACCCTGAATGGCAATGCTTCCTCTGGAACCATCTGAATTTAGGTACTTTTGGAATACTGTTCTGAATACAAAGACAACACAACACCTGGCAAGCATCCGGTATTCTCCTACATAGCCCCAATGCCATTGCTTTTACCAGCTTTTGGCATCTCCTTTCCAGGACCACTCTTCAGTATTCTTGTAAGTAACAAGCAGCGCTAAGACTGAATAAAACAAATCTTTTGTATCTGGCCAGTTACTTGTTTGTCTTTGTTTTTTCCAGGGAACAAAAGCCTGCACAAGACAAAACTGACCTGCTGCTCTGTCTTCCCTTTCTCCAAGAGGTTCTTTACTTCTAGCTCCTTTCCTTTCATGTCTTCTCTTAAGTCCTCATAATCCTTCAGCTTCCTGGCAATTAGCTGATCCAACTCCTCCGCTTCCTTTTTGATCTTATTTGCTTCATTCTGCAGGTGGAAATCAAAAACAAATGCAGATTCCTGAATGTTAAAGAGTTTCTGAACAGGTGGCAAAACACATTATAGTTTCTAACCATCAAACAAGCAGAAGCTAAGGTGGGTTCCCATCTTTTACAATTACAGCTGTAACTTTGCCTTCAAAGCTCTGAATAGCACAAGGGTCAGTGCAACAAAGGACAGAGGCTGCAAATAGTTACACATGCAAGAAATCTACTGCACTACAGTGAGTACAGGAGAGGGAGCAGTTCTGCAGACTTCAGAGGGAGCTGAAATTTTTGCGCTTCTCTGATCAAGCTGTTTGGCAAACAACGTTTCACTCAGTTTTTTGTCCTTCTGAGAATGGGGGAGGTGGGGGTTTACGCATGCATAAAAGCTGAAATGCAGAAATGTGGATCATGCCTGGATGGACAAAGATTCCACACACTGTTCTTATGCAGAGAAACATTAGCAGAGCACATACAAGGTATGTCAGCAACCTAACACACCACTACAATGCACGTCCTCATTGATCTTTAGCAAACACTGTGCACGATGCTTCCCACACGTACCTCTAGCCCCGTGGAATCCACAGTAGGCAGACTGGTGAGATTAGCATAGATCTGCAGGGCTTTGTTTCCAGCTTCCTCTGCCTCCGCAAGCACCTTGTTGGCCTGTTTCTCCAGGTCTCGAGAAATGTTCCTTGCTTGATTATACCTAAAAAACCCCAAGGATCCAGTTATGCTACATTTATTTTTGTAGAACTGAACTTATTAGTGAGAGGAGAGAGGCTAAGAAATTGAAAGCCAACTCCCATAAAATGCAAAGCATACAATGCTACAGAAGGCATCTTAGTTTTAAGCACTGCTCTAAAGCCAGGAAATAAAAACAATTTCCTGTTACTGACTCACTTCTGGTTGAGCTCATCAATGTCATTTGCAGTTTGGTTTTCTCCAGCCAGGGTCTTCAACAGCAGTTGATACGCTTCTGTGGAAGTATCATTTGCTGCCTTGGCTATGCGAACAATCTCATCAGCTTCTTTTTTGTGTCTGGAAAAGATTACAGAAGAAAAATAATGCCATTAGAATTGTTAGCCAGTGGTTTCTATCCTCAGTTCCAGATTTTATTCTCTCTTACTTTTCCTTCCTTCACCCAGATTTGCAATGGAAGATGCTGTTTAAGACCATCACTCCAGCAGTGCCCACAAGATTGGCTGAAAGGCACTGCTATGGTTGCACATGTCCTTCATTCACATGTCTAGTGTTTTCCCTCAAAGATACATAGGCATGCACCCACAGTGC